TGTGCTGTGTGTGTGTGTGTGTGTGTGTGTGTGTGTGTGTGTGTGTGTGTGTGTGTGTGGTGTGTGTGTGTGGTGTGTGTGTGTGTATGTGTGTGTTATATGCATGTATGCACATGTATGTGTGGGTACACTGTTGTTCAGGGCATGTGGTAGCCAGGGAGTTGACATGAAGATGTCTTCTTCAATCATTTCTGCACCTTACTTTTTAAGATAGGGTCTCTCAGTGAATATAGAGATTGCTATTTGGGCAAGTTTGGCTGGCCAGAGAGCCCCTGGCATTGGCTGGCCTCTGCCTTCCAGCACTGGGGCAACAGGCACATGCTGCATTCCCAGCTTTTGTAATGGGTCTAGGGATAAGAACTTGGTTCCCCATGCTTGCACAGCCAGCACTTAATTCACCAAGAGACCTCCCCAGCTCCTGTTTGTGTTTCTTTTCAGGTGTGTATAGAGAAATAGTTTAGTATATGGATGGGTGTGTTTCTTTCTAAAAACTAGGTAAAAAATAGCTTGTGTTTCTTGTATCCTATATTTTCAGGGTGTGTCTCTGAAGACCATTTTAATTTGAAAGGAAAGATGCTGTCATCCAATGATCAAAAGTTAGAAAAGCTGGATCACTTTCATCGACCTTCAGTGTCCAAGCAGAAGACCAGTGCGGAAATCATAAGTGAAGCACGGAATGCCTTAAGAGCAGTGAGAACCCAAAGACCATTTACACCCCGGGAAGACCAGAGGAAGCTGTTTGGGCCTGCCTCGTCAAGAGCCCCAGAAAACAGGCCTCCCTCCTCTTTCAGGTACTGCCACAAACATTTAAGTCACCAGATTACATTCTCTCCATCTATCCTTCCCCCTTCCCTCCCCAACACCTGCCAATCATTGATCATTTTACTGTCTCTAAAGTGCTGCATTTCCCAGGATGTCATATAGCCGGCACCATGCCCTTTCTAATTGGCTGCTTTCACTGAAGAATTCGAATTTAGGCTTCTCCGATGCTTTTTTTTTGTGGCTTGGTCGCTCCTTTCTTTTTAGCGCCTAGGAGTTACATCATCTGATTGCACCCTAGTCGCACACTTGAGTTACTTCTGTTTCCACATTCCATGTCCATCAATGCTCTAACCCTCCACACGAATGCTTTTGGAAGGTACAAGTTCTCAGATTCTTTGGGTAACTGCCAAGGACCCCATGGCAAGGGCAGATGGTGAGAATATGTTTGGTCTTATTAGAAAGCACCAGCCCACCTTCCACAGTGGCTCCCCACTGTGCATTTCCATGAGCATTAAGTGAGCATTGCCAGGCGGCTGCATCCCACGATCTGGACCCCGCCTCTTCGGTAGGTGTGTAGCTGTATCTTGTGTGATTTGCATCTTCCCCGGTGACGCGATGCAGAGCATCTTTTCATGCGAGGGCTCGCCATCTGTGTATCTTCTTTGGTCAGGCATCTGTTCAAGTCTGTGGCCCAGTTTCTAAATTGGGTTGTTTGTGTTCTTGTTGAGATTTAAGAATTTTTTGAGTAGCTTGGAAAGCAATCTTTTATCTTATCCAAGCCTTTTTTTTCCCCTACCAGACTTGGACTTTTTACTTTCTTGAATGTCTTCTATGGAGCAGATGTTTTTAATTTTAGTATAGTTTAGCTGATCAGCTTTCTGTCCTGGAGCATGGTGTCACTGCTGTGTATAAAAGTCTTATCCTTATCCAAGTTCATATTGACTTTCTCCCATGCCATCTTGTAGAGGTTTTATAGGTTTGAGTCTTGCATTTGGGTCTGAAATTGAATTTGAGCTTGTTTTTGACATGGGTGTGATGTCTGCCTTCCCATTTCTCTCTCTCTCTCTCTCTCTCTCTCTCTCTCTCTCTCTCGCACACACTTGCTCGAGTGTGTGTGTGTGTGTGTGTGTGTGTGTGTGTGTGTGTGTGTGTGTGTGTGTGTGTGTGTGTGTATTGGAAAGATTATCTTTCTTTCTGCACTGCACAAAGTTACTGACTTTCAATGGTTTAATGTCTACAGTTTCACTTTATGATGTTGTAGAAGTACTGGGTACTCAGGAGAAACTAGGCTTTGGATTCTGGTATTCTCTGAGCTAGCCAATGCAGTGAGTGCACTCTTAGAATGCTGGGCAACAGTAGCAAGCCGCAGCTTCCAGTGGGCCCTCGGATCCTGAGAGTAAACAACTCAGTCTGTAGTGTGCTGCTGTTTCTGCCCAGCTGTCTCACTTCCTGTCTGTCTGTACAGACCTCCAGATCTCTATGGTTAGCTAGTGGCTAGCTCCATTCTCTGACCTTCAGACAGGCTTTATTTGTACAAGCAAGATATCACACATTCCGGGTCTTTCGCCTGCATATACACTTCAGGTTCAATTTGTTGATACAAAATAACTTGCTGGAACTTTAAGATTGAATTGAATCTATAGTGTAAGTTGGAAACAAGACCTTAAAAAACTTTATTATAAATAATGTTGCAATAGAAAAACTAACAATGTAATGATATTATGTGTTCTATCCATGAAAATGGTCTGTCTCCCCAGGTAGCGCTTCTTTGGCTACTTTCATTGAGTTTCCATTTTTCTCACAGATCATGCATGTTTTAGTAGATTTACAACCAAGCTCTTCAGTTATTGTATTGCATTTCCATCTCAGTTTCTACCTGTCTATCCATGTAGGGAAACTGACTTTGTTAATTTTGTATCCTGCTATAATCAATTACTCATTGCAGAGGGTTTGGATTTTGTCAGTTCTGTAGTCTTTCCTGCAGAGAAGATAATGCTCTGCAAACAAAGTTATTTTGTTTCTTCATTCCCTATCTATATGCCTTTTATTTCCTTTCCCCAAGTCTCTGAATTAGCTGACTTCCAGGACACTGCTGAACAGCAGCTGTGACTGGAGGAGCCCTTGCCTTCCCTTGATCTTAGTGGTAAAACTTCAGGGTCCTCTCACAGAGCATGGTGTGAGTTGTGTGATGTTTGCAGTATTCCGTGTGTGTGTGTGTGTGTGTGTGTGTGTGTGTGTGTGTGTGTGTGTGTGTATGCGTGTGTGTATGCATGCATGTGTATGTGCCTGTATGTGTGTGTTTATTGATAGAATCATATGATTTTTCTACAACTTGTTAGTGTGGGGGATTATATTAATTGATTTTTTTTATTCAATTTTTTTAAGTTTGACTTTTGACCAAGATTCCTCAAGATAATTCTAGACACTGGGTAAAGAAACTCAGTTTGAAATGAAATAGTTAACAGTAATTGTCATAGCAAGCTCATAAAGTTATGACAAAAAGCTTTTTTATATATTTCATCTTTTAATTCTTCTTATTACTTGGATAAGGCTGGCTTACAACTTACTTTGTAGTTAAGAATGACTGAAGTACTGATCTTCCTGTCTCAACCTTCTGAGTGCTGGGATTACAAGTGTCTGCCGTACATTTTGTTTTAGGCAGTGCTGGAGACTGAACCCAAGGCTGTATGCATGCTAGACCAGCACTGTACAGCCTGAGCACTCTACAGCCTGAGCACTCTACAGCCTGAGCACTCTACAGCCTGAGCACTCTACAGCCTGAGCACTCTACAGCCTGAGCACTCTTTATCAGCCTGAGCACTCTTTCTACAGCCTGAGCACTCTTTATCAGCCTGAGCACTCTACAGCCTGAGCACTCTACAGCCTGAGCACTGTACAGCCTGAGCACTCTACAGCCTGAGCACTCTACAGCCTGAGCACTGTACAGCCTGAGCACTCTTCCACCTAAGCACTCTACAAACAAAGCTGAATTGCTGTCCCTCTTGTTTTTATCATTTAAAAATTCATGGGAGACCATGTCTTGTCATATAATTCAGGCTAGTCTTGAGCTCATTATCCTGCCTCCATGCAGGGTTACAGACATGTGCCACCATGTCCAGCTCATTATTCAGTATTTTTAGTCTTCCTGAAAGTAATAGGAAAATCGTTAACAGTTGTGAGTGGTAGAACTTAACAATTTTGTGTGTGTTAGCTGGGCGTTGGTGGCACACGCCTTTAATCCCAGAGGCAGAGGCAGGCGGATCTCTGTGAGTTCGAGGCCAGCCTGGTCTCCAGAGCGAGTGCCAGGATAGGCTCCAAAGCTACACAGAGAAACTGTCTCGAAAAAAAAAAAAAAATGTGTGTCAGAACCTGTTTAAATCACCTTACTTGTTTTTTAGCTCAAGTTTACTAGCATACACTAGAAACAGAAGCCCTTCAGAAACTAACCCTTTACACCATCTCTCCCACTAGCCTCCATGCATCCAGCTTTGAGTTAAGCGATTCCAGGCCCATCTCTGGCACCCGTCTCAGTCCACTCGAGCTGGTGAGTACTTTCTGTCACCACCCGTGTGATGACATGAATTTGGCCCCAAATACTAGGAGTCAGCACTCCTATTGCTAAGGATATTATCATGTAGGCCCAAGAGTAGTAATAATATCAGAGCCAAAGCCTTTTCATTTTTAAATATAATGCTTAATAGCTAGTGAAATACCTCTGTAGCTTACTTATAGTTTTATAATAAAGAATTAAAGCAATTTACTAAACAGTATTTCATGTTTGTTGTTTAAAAAGTTATATATTATTTTTGTCTTAATTATAACAAAATTATATATCATATATTAAATATGCATACTTTATATATTCATACACACATATATATACACATACATGCATATACTTTAAGATGTAAATTATGCATATAAATATATATATACACACATATATATTAACAGAGAGAGAGATGGAGATTTATTACCAAAAAACCCAACCAAACAAAAATCACTACAAATAGTGACTTTTTATTCCCCTCTTCTTTATTGTCCTTACCCCCCCTCCCCCCCCCGTGGGTTTCTTCTGGCACTTTCTAGACTGGTCGCCTTGTCTGCCGCTTGTATGTATGACTTCTCAAGACTCGTTTTATTTGTGCTGTCCCCGTCATTCATCAGACATGCTCCCTCTTCTACTGTCCCCACATAGATGCACTGCGGGACTCGCTTAGAGCAGATTTCTTGGATGATGATGAAACAACCCCATTCACAGCTGACCCTTGAGTTAATAAGGACTAATGATGCTCGCTTCATCTTGCCTGTATCAATTTGTGTTTCCTTCTTGATAACAACTATCTTATGCTTTAAGTTTCATATTAGCTCTATTTCAACCTCAAACTGTCCCCACATTTTTTATGTTTGGGGACATGGAAATTCTATCAAGTCATCTCATTGGGAGAGCTCTCCAGATGTCCTGTCCCCTCACTTGCTCTGGGTACCTGGTACTGCTCTCATCACCCTTCACCAACATACAAGGAGGCACCGCCTCCCTTTATGGGGACTATGTCCTGTGTCCTGCATCCCATGCCCTTCTCTGTCACATTGACTCTGCTTTGGGTGGAGCATTTTTCCCATAGAAAAGGTGTGTATGGAGTAAATGATTTGACTCTTGATTCCTGTTTTTCTTTTTTGGAAGTTGGTAGGATTTTTCTCCTTGTCCGCAGTTGTTCTGGTTTGCTTTGTGTTGCTATGATAAAACACTCTTTAGGGAAGAAAGGGCTTATTTAGCTTACAAATTATCTCATCAAAGGAAGCCGAGGCAGAACCTGGAGGCAGAGACCCTAAGGAATGAAGCTCGTGGGCTTGCTCTCTATGGCCTACTCCACTTGCTCTCTATGGAACCCAGGCCTACCTGACCAGGGCTTATTTTAGGGAGATCCTTACTTACTGACCCAGTTGGAGAGGCTGTTTCACCCTTTCTAAACAGTAAGCACCCCTCCTGGGTGCCTGGAGCATTCGAGGGGCGGGGGAAGTTGTTACAGAGAACCTCAACTAATCCCCTGTCTTCCAGCCACCTTCTCCACGGACCTCTGCGAGCATCTTAGACTTTCATGGAAATAGGGCCTTAGTCAAATTGCTTCTCAGTTTTTATTGCTCTATGTGTGTGTGCATTCCTACATGTGTGCACATGCGTGTCTACTTGTGGGCATATTTGTTTTGATGAACTATTGGGAAGTAAGGTGCAGATATCATGATACTTCATCCATAGAAGTGCACATGAGTGTGCATCCCATGAGAACCATAGGCAATCTCCTCTATAACTGCAAACTGCCACCACAGCTCAGAAAAGCCATCAGTCCTTAACCGTATCACCAGCCTATCTCCAAATGACCCCAGTTGTCTCAAAATGTACCTTGAATTTTTAAAATACTAATCAGAATATCCCTGAGGAAGATCATAGTTTTCTTATATTGCAGAAGACAAAATAAGGCCTGAGAAGTAATTTGCAAGCTGCTGTTGGCACATAGGTCTGATACCTGTGGTATCAGATAGCTAGGTACATTACTGTTGACTTGGAGAAATCACTCAATTTGGGTATATTTGTAGAGGGAGATTTTCTATGTCTATCTCGGTTCTACTCAGACCAGTTTCTCTCCACCCACTGGGTCTCCAAAGCTATTATGAAATAACCACTCACAGATTAATATATATTTATAATTGTTTGGCCATTGACTTAAGCTTCTTATTGGCTAGCTCTCTCTTAAATATTATCCCATTTCTATTAATCTGTATGTGACTATGGTTTACCTAGGTCACACCCCAGTGTCCTGCCTTCCTGGTGGCTACATGGTGTCTCTCTTTTTTTTTTCCTAGTGGTTTAATTTTTTTCTTTTTTTTTTAGTTTATATTTATATAAAAAGAGCAATAATGTCAATATGTTATGCATCAATAGCAGCAACAGCTTTTCCAGGTTCTGGAGTCCTTTGAACAAAATTGTAGAGACATCCAGCACACTCCATTTAAAAAAAAACAAAAACAAAAACAAAACCAAAAAAACAAACAACAACAAAAAAGTAAAAAACAAAATCCCAGAAGACAGCACAGTTCTGTTACTCTTGTGGTACTTGACACCATTTTTTTTTAATTAGTTTCTCAGTCATCATCTGGGAGGAAACTATTCTGAGCAACATCATTAAAAACAGCTCTGATAAAGCATGGTCACTACTGTGTATCATAAAGCAGGTCCACATATGAGTGAGTACATATCATGTTTGTCTTTTTGTGATTGGGTTACCTCGCTCAGAATGGTTTCTTCGAGTTCCATCCATTTTCCTGCAAATTTCAAGATTCCATTGTTTTTTTCTGCTGAGTAGTACTCCATTGTGTAAATGTACCACATTTTCTCTATCCATTCTTCGGTTGAGGGGCATTTAGGCTGCTTCCCGTTTCTGGCTATTACAAATAGTGCTGCTATGAACATGGTTGAACATATGTCCTTGTTATATGAATGTGCTTCTTTTGGGTATATGCCTAGGAGTGGAATTGCTGGATTTTGTGGTAGACTCATTCCCATTTTCTTGA